TTCTTGATGGGCCCTAGTTCTTGTAGGTCCCATCTACCCTAACCACTACAGTCTAGGAAATACAGTGTCAAATTACAGTCTGAAGTAATAACACATCACAAAGTAGAAGACAGAGACAGACGAGGACATAAGGGTCGCAACACAGGGATAAAGTTACATCATTAAGTTATACGGTGTTTTGTATTTCCCTTATCACTCATTTAGTCGCTGTCGTGTGTGTGTGTTTTCTGTAATGTCTTTGTATTATTTAAGTCAAGGGCGACGTGTTCGAGGATGACGTGTTCGAGGATGACGTGTTTGAGGATGACGTGTTGTTAAAGGATGACGTTTTAGGTTGGGTTAGTGTTAGGCTGGGTAAGGTCAGATTAGCCACCACAAAACAACACAACACCACCACCACAACAACCACACCACCACAACAACCACCACCACACCACCACCACCAACACTGCCGCAGGATATCTAAACATCCCCTACCCACACCTCTCAACCTCCCCACCCCCTCTTCACCTTCCCCTCCCTTCCCACCCCCTCTTCACCTTCCCCTCCCTTCCCACCCCCTCCCTCCCCTACCGTTCCCGTCACCCACAACCCTCATGACGACTCGGTATATGCGTTTTAAAAGTAAGTAGGGACTCGGTATATGCGTGTGGCTTTGAGCAATTGGGGTCCAGGGTGTTTTCCGTGTTGAGGATTCAGATTCGGATTCAAAATGGAATTGTTTTTTTTTTTCTTTATCGGTCTCAAAATAACACCAATGGTTGGTGGATCGAATCAAGGCCCCGTATTGTCAAAACAGGTGGTGGTGTATTGATCATAAGGGAAGCAGGGGTGTGAGGCAGGTGGTGGTGGTGGTAGTAATAGAGGTAGTGGCAGTGTTGGTGGTAGTCGTAGTAGTGGTGGTGGTAGTAGTGGCAGTGTTGGTAGTCGTAGTAGTGGTGGTGGTGGTAGGTAGTGGCAGTGTTGGTGGTAGTCGTAGTGGTGGTGGTGGTAGTAATAGAGGTAGTGGCAGTGTTGGTGGTAGTCGTAGTAGTGGTGGTGGTGGTAGTAATAGAGGTAGTGGCAGTGTTGGTGGTAGTCGTAGTAGTAGTGGTTATAGTGTTAGTGTGGTTAATCTTGAGGTAAATAAACTGAGGGGGTGTAATTCCTAACCTAACCTAACCCCTATCAATGTTCCAACCTTTATCATATGACCTGGTAAAAATAATTGGCTCAAGGGAATATCCTGTTGTGTATGTATGTATGTATGTATGTATGTATGTATGTATGTATGTATGTATGTATGTATGTATGTATGTATGTATGTGTATGTATGTATGTACAGTATGTATGTATGTATGTATGTATGTATGTATGTTTGTATGTATGTATGTATGTATGTATGTATGTATGTATGTATGTATGTATGTATGTTAAAGTCCAATTGTTGTAGCTTTATCGTCCTTCAATATTACTCAATGGCACACAAGGCACTGATGATATTGTTGACGTAACCCTGGTGTGTGTGTGTGCGTAGGGGGAAGGTAGGTGGGTGTGTACGTCAGGATCATGAAGTCTACACACACACACACACACACACACACACACACACACACACACACACACACACACACACACACCAGCTATCAGAAGGAGAAAGGTTAACCCCCGAAAGACATTTAATAACAGGAAGTCAGCCATTACCTTCCTGTTGGTCACGTATAGCAAAGGCCACTAACCCCCTCCCGCCAGCACCTCCCCAAACCCAACCTCAGCCCACACCCACCCTCAAACCCCACCTCACACTTCTCACACTCGTTCAATCCCCCATTCTCCACACACCCTACACACCCTTAAATCAAACCTGTTTCAGAAATAATCTTAAAATTCATAGAGTAACCACCTCTCTTTGTTAACCACCTCTCTCTGTTAACCACCTCTCCTTGTTAACCACCTCTCCCTTGTTGTTAACCACCTCTCTTGTTAACCACCTCTCCTTGTCCTTGTTAACCACCTCTCCCTTGTTAACCACCTCTCCTTGTTAACCACCTCTCCTTGTTAACCCTCTCCTTGTTAACCACCTCTCCCTTGTTATTAACCACCTCTCCTTGTTAACCACCTCTCCTTGTTAACCACCTCTCCCTTGTTAACCACCTCTCCCTTGTTAACCACCTCTCCCTTGTTAACCACCTCTCCCTTGTTAACCACCTCTCCCTTGTTAACCACCTCTCCCTTGTTAACCACCTCTCTCTTGTTAACCACCTCTCCCTTGTTAACCACCTCTCTTGTTAACCACCTCTCTCTTGCTAACCACCTCTCTCTCGTTAACCACCTCTCTCTCGTTAACCACCTCTCTCTCGTTAACCACCTCTCTCTTGTTAGTATTGATGGTGGTAGGACTTAATAACCTTGGCTGAACCCTTAAAGGACTGTTGTTGGGTTGGGTTGTGCATGTATGAGATGACCCTGACCTTTGCATGTCACCTAACCAGCGGCAGGCAGGTCACGGAACACGTCAAGCAGGGGATGATACCACTGACTTTTGTTTTCCTTTGTGTATAAGATGCGAGTGACGTAACCAAACTGAACTTTCTCATAAAACTTTCTTTGTGTGTCTCTTGTGTTGTTACTCTGTTGAAATATGTAATTGTATTTATAAGAGTCATTCTCCCCCTCCTCCTCCAACCCCTCCGCTATCCCTCTTCTTTTTCTTCCCTCTACCTTCTCTTCCCTTTCCCTCTTCCTCCTCCTCTCCTTTTCCTCTTCCTCCTTCCCTTTCCCCCCCTCTTCTTTACCTCCCTCTCCTCCTCCCCTTTTCCCCTCCTCCCCTTTCCCCCCTCCTCCCCTTTCCCCCCTCCTCCCCTCCCTCTCCTGGGCATGTTGGAATGCGGGGAGGAAAGATGAAGGAAGGTTGGTGGGGGTGAGAGGATGCGGGAGGGGAGGGGAGGCTTGGTTTCGTCAATGCACAAGGTGAAGGTGGTTGAAGGAGGGAGGGAGGAGAGGAAACCCTGTTCCGAGTTTTCTTTGTAGCTTAATCTAGTAAGCCCAGTACTGTATCACTTAAACATCTTTCTTTTTCTTGATCAATTATTATCTCTACTCAGAATCTTTGGCTTTTAATTGAGTGACAAAGGTATCATTACCATGTCAAGATAGAGTCCATTGGTAACAGGAAAGGAATATTTTATTTTATATTTTTATTTAAATTCTTATTGGGATTAAGTCATTGGATTAGTTTATGCATAGGGATTAAGTCATTGGATTAGTTTATACCTGTCACGTACATTAATTTGTCAATAATAATTAAATCTACTGTACTTTATATTTCCAATTATAGAACCATATTAATTCTCCCCATATTTTTTTTTAGCTTCCTGTCGTCACTTCCTGATTACTTGGAAAACTAACGATAACTAGGAATCTATTTTTTTCCTACTCTACCTTACGTAAAAAAAAATGCCGACAAATTATACACGTCTTGGAAATTGTGGCGTACGGGTTAGGTTAGGTTACTGTGTGTGTGTGTGTGTGTGTGTGGTGCAACATGTTCATCCGGTCTTCCCAGAATGGTGGCGTGCAGGTGGGATTTTTAATTTTTTTTTTACCGAGAGTGCAGGTGTAAGTCAGATGAAACCAGTCCAGACAGACAAAGGTTTTATCTTTAACCTTTTAATTGGTGATGGTTGAAGTTTGTGTTCACTTAAAGTACTTGCTTCAAGAGCTTAGAATACGTACTTGAAGACCTTAGTTATTGAAGCATACTAATACATTATAATGTTCACATCCAAAGAATTCTTGACGACAACTGATCAAGGTGTTTCTGGCTTTTAACATAATAAACTACAATATCTTCTAAATGATTAAGTCAATTATTATTAGAGGTTAACTAAGGTCATATTTATAATTTTTCTGCCATCAAATGTATGAATACCTGTTGCAATTATATGTTAAAGATGCTTTGAGTTGCTCATTTTGGCTGGCTGCTGCATGGTGGACAGACAAACAGGTCCTATGAGAAATACTTAGCTGGCAGGTGTGAGTAATGTGTGCAGGCTTAAAAGTTTATCCACATTTCAACACCTTGTTTATTAATTTATAACCAAACTAAACTTAATCTAACCAAACCAAACCTAATCTAATCCAACTCTAATCTATTCTAACCAAACCCAATCTAATCTAACCTAACCTAAGCTGGAAGGAAAAAAGAACTAAGATACATTCCTCCTCTTGTCTTTCCTGGAGGTATTAGACCCCGTAACACAGGTTCCTCGTGATAAACTCGAGGCTCCAATTTCTCAAGTAGATCGTATACAATCAAAGAGCCGCCTCACTGTATTTGTTTATGCTATTTTCAGCCGCTATATTTATTTCCCTAACTTGAATCACCCACTCACATGCAACCTTTACATCTTCTGTTGGGATGAATGTTGTGTAGAATGTTGTAATGTTGAAGTGACCCACTTGGCAGAATTTATCAAGGAACTTCCACTCTTACTCCTCTAGACGTGCTATTACTGATTAGAGACAGAGCGTAAGCCTAAGTAAAGGGACCCTCCTGGAAATAAGCGCCTGGGATCTTTGCCGGCTCTCTTTCGTCAAATTGCCTTACTGTTTACCATTGTTGTATACATGCATTGTCTCGGTACATAGAAAACCGAATACTCCCATGACTGTTTTCAATATGTATCAGCACTATGTATTTCCCAGACTAAATGCATTATTGTTATGTATTTTAGGGGGAATGAATAATGTAATCTATAGTCATAATATATATCCGAGTCCACCAATGCTATGTGTGTTGTATTTTACAGGGGAATGAGTATACGTAGTCTGGGGCAATAATACCTAGACTACCAATACATTTTGTTGTATTATAAGTGAATGAGCACTGTAGGATCAATATACAGCATTTGTATTCCTTTGGTTGTATTTTTGTATTGGGAATGTATTAAAATTTTATTAAATATATAATTACGGGACTATGATGTAACCCCTAAGCTAACATCAATTTTTGGTTGCAGAAAGATGAGTAGTCCGGGTTCGAAAGAGGTTGTGGGCAGCAATGGGGGTCCTGCCTCGAGTTGGGTCCAATTTGACGAGGAGGATGTCAACCAGCAGTCCCTTACCATTGCGAATGATGGCAGCACACCTGCTGTTATTGATGCCCAGTCTGTCCAGGTAACACTAATCTTACTCAAGGGGTTAAATCATCATATTCAAGGGGTTAAATCATCATACTCAAGGGCCTAAATCATCATACTCGAGGTTTGAGAGAAGGAGAATTACCAATATTATTCCTAAATCCTCGTAGGTGTCACTGGACGACCACAACCACACCACGCCAAAGAAAACCCTCAACAAAACAGCATCCGAGCCAGCCAATGGCGTCCGAAAGGGGTCCATCACCTCTTCGACCACACCCACGAGTCTGACCCCCAGCACGGGAGAGACGCGGGTCACCATGTCTCAACTCAGTGCTTCACAGCTTCATAATGTGCCTCTCAACGACCCTTCAGCGCGACCTCCAGCCAATGCCCAGCCGGTCATCAGACAGGGGTTCAGTAAGTCCTGCACTGTCATGGGGTAGATTAGTGGTAAGCTCATGTGATCCTCCTGAACGTGCTACGACGCTAGGTAATGCATTAAGTTAAAAAACAATTGAGAAAATAGTCCCCAGGTAGCATTATGGTGTTTAGTCATTAAGTGAAATAAACTTTGTGGGGCTAATCTTCAGGTGATCCTAATTATACCTTAAGACATCAAGGTTAAGGACACCTATTATGTGAAATATTACATCTGATATACACTTAAAAACTTACTGATACATTACTCTACAGGTTATTTAAAGTAGTTGGTGTAATAGCTATTTGTTATATTTTCAGGTAACAGTGATGTGATATTTTTGTGATATTTTCAGCCAATGGGGATGTCATAGTTACCTTGCTGCCTCAGAACACCTCAATGCCGTGGATTACCCCAGCTCAGTTTCGGCCTGAGCTCGTGCCAGAGGAGTTGATGGCCCAGGGGCTGACGGTGAGTTGTGTCCTCCTCGGGTTGTTTTGTCGCTGAGTCACTCACCACCTCCTTTGAATACCAATCATGGCTGATCTGAGTGAGATAGCAAATACTGTAGCTATAAGGAACTAACTGATGTGACAAACAGTATTTTGTAAGTTTCTTGGATGCAAACAACTAACTGACAACCTGAATGGCTAGTAAGCTGATAAGTGGTGGAATGGTTAAATGTAATGAACAAAAAAAATCTTTATGATTAACTAATGGGGAGGTTAGGTTAGGCTAGGGTTTTTAGTCAATAGGTGATATTAGCGGGGACTCCTAAGTTTAATGACTGAATGAAAAACAAAATCAAAGCAGAACAAATCAAGCCTTTAAGATATGATTAAACGAAAACAAAACATAAACTCGAGTCTTGTAACACAATTCTGTCCTCCCCGCAGTTGACGGTCGAGGATTACGTTCACGTCATGTCCCAGCTGGTTAACGACTACCGGTTTACCCTCTACAACGTCTGCTACAAGCGTATCCTAATGGCCTGGATCTTCCTTGGGTTCATAATCCTGCTTGGCATCCTTTTCTCGGGAGTCTCACAGCTTGCGTTATTTGGAGCCGGAATCGCCTGGCTCATGGTGAACGCAGCGGCGATATTCTTCTGCATGTGGGTCAAAATCAAGGTATGGTATGAGACTTTTTTTATAAGCTCATGTAGTATAGTACCAGTATCTGATGTATGGTTATTTGATGTGTTGATAGTGGTGAGCGGATGTTTGGGCCACGGTTAGGTTAGATTAAGTCCTATTCACCCTGGCCCAAACATCCTTCATTCATTGATAGTGCACTCCTTAAATCATCAGGGAAATTACTTTTTGATTCAAGATGTTTTTGCCTCTTTTGTTTATAATAAATTGTACCTGTTTTATAATAAAGATATCTGTACACTTTTCCAACTATTGTACACATGACATATATAAAAAATAAAAAAATTTAACAACTCGTTTTCTGTTTTCACGACGTACAAAAACAGCTGAATAAGTCGCTGGAGCAGTGTATGGCGGAGATCAACGTCCAGCTGGTCCGCCACAAGATTATATTAGGCCTCGATGACAGGGGGAAACTGTCGTGTCATAAAGTCAATCTGTGCTTCATCTACTTTGACACGCATGACTGTGTGGTGAGTGACTCTTATGTGTATACCTTTTCAACCCAGTAGCATTCACCAGTATGTACTCTTTTACCCAGTAGATTCCACCAATATGTACTCTTTTACCCAGTAGAGTCTACCAGTATGTACAATTTCACCCAGTAGAGTCCACTATCTATTCTATCACCCAGTAGAATCTATCTTCACTCTCAACTAGTACAATAAGTCCTGTCTTTCGTTTTCAATTGGACGAATGCCAAATGAAACTCGAAGTGTTGCGGCTGGATCAAGGAGTCCACGCTGACATGTATTTTTCTTCCAGGCTAAATTGCAGGAGATAATAGAACAGGAGGAACGCGCCGGCCGCAACGTCAACAGCGACGAGGCCAAGATGACGCCCCTCCGCGACCGCATGGACATCGACGATTCCGACATCATCATCACGGGCGCGACAAATACCCGCATCTCCCGGCAACAAGTATGGAAATTAGTCACTTGGTAGTATATTTATTTATAGAGGGTACAGTACAGCATTGGCATAATGTAGTATTGTATTGATCTAAATCTTTCCATGCCAAGGTGAGTATATGTTGCTTTAAGGCATTATTAATTAGCTTTTGGGGGGATTCTGATTATGTTGACTGAAGCTAATATTGATTCTGTTTGCTACTGAATCTGTGAGTACGAGTGTTACTGCCTGTTTTTACTAATTCATTGCTGAATGTGCTTACTGAGCGAATATTCCTGATTGTGTTTACTGAACTGAACTGACTGTTAAATGTGCTTGCTGAATTTTCATTCTGATTGTACATACCATTCTTCTTGCTGAATGTCTTTACTGAACTCTTTTTCTGATTGTGGATGTTGAACTTATGAGGATGATTACTAATGATAATATGACTCATTTGGGGGAACAATGTTGAATACTCCAATATTTTTTCAAGGTCATCACAGTTGAAGCTCATGGATTTTCTTTCCCTTGTACGTATCTCCGTAACTCATGACACAATTATGATAAAACTGGTGTCAAATGATGGGGAATTTAGTCTACTTTAAGGATATGTAAAGGAATCTCACATCATCTGGGAATAAAATGATTTTGGCGTATTTGTTGCTGTTCCCACGAGTGTCTCATATACAGTAAACGTCCAAGTATGAGGTGTAGTATGTATTATGAACTTATGCATACTGGTCTTATTAATGATACTCCATACTGAAGTTATCATTCGTCCAATTATCTCCAGCGTTTGATAATTGAATGACGTACTAACAGATGTCATCTCAAGAACAACAAATGTAAATCGTAAATCGACATCTAGACAATTTATAATAGTGTTATTATAAATTATTTTCATATTAGATTCTTAGAGATCATGGGTTCCTTAATGTAGTTCCCCTCACTTGTTATCTCAGTGTCTTGCTAAGTCCTCCCTCTGTTGCCCCTGTCTGGGTATGCTTGCTCAGGTAACTCTCCTCCCTTCACTTAACCAAACCAGGTGGCAGCTGCTTCACCGATAACCAAACCAGCACTTTAGTTTATGTATGAAAGATCTCAGGTTCAGTATTAACGTAGAGTCTTCATAAGTCATAAAAAAAAGGCTGAAGAGTGTATGAAATGTGGAGATTATCACTGGCTAGTTTGTTTATGGAAGATACTGTACTACTACTATACTTGGAGGTGTACCTTAAGTCCCAGAAAGTATAAGGCATCAATGCTGATAGATAGGTTGATAGAGGCAGTATATAGTTAATCTGTTTCCCATTATAGAGCAAGATGGCCGGGTAGATTGATAGGTATGGTATATAGGTAAGCTATTCCCTATAATCCAACAAGATGGCCGGGTAGATTGATAGGTATGGTATATAGGTAAGCTATTCCCTATAATCCAACAAGATGGCCGGGTAGATTGATAGGTATGATATATAGGTAAGCTATTCCCTATAATCCAACAAGATGGCTGGGTAGATTGATAGGTATGGTATATAGGTAAGCTATTCCCTATAATCCAACTGTCGTGGTCCCTTTTTCAAAAAACATTTTCACAGTATTCTCCTTGTAGGCTGTTACTGTGTATTTATTGCATGTTATATATTAAAAGATGAATTTATATATTCAGGAAAGTCATATAGTTAAACATAGTTGTAATGTGTTGAAAAGTGATGAGAATATAATGTTTTTTTAGCTCAAGAAGAGGACTTAATTCCTGGACCCAGAACTTTAGTGTAAATTAAACTATGTACCTCAATAAACCCCTCACCTGACCTGACCTAACTCAACCCCTGAATTAACTTAAATCAACCCCGAACCAAAACTAACCTGAGTCAACCCCTAACCTAACCTTAACTTCCTCTTAACATAGCCCAACTTAATTTAACCAAACTGGCAGTATTATGGTAAGATGGAAATTTAGGTCTGGTTACAGTTCCAGGTTTTGGAATTAGTTTTGCCCAGAATGTGACATTGTCTGGATCAGTGGATGTCACTTATGTAATAGTAAAGTACAGTACTGTATTGGATTTAAACAGCTGAAAACTTGTAAAGGAGCAAATGTAACGTTGGTAATGGAGAGTATTTTCCCATTTTTTTGTGTTTCTCTTGTCAGTTTTCTTATGTCTCTTGTTGTTGGAAAATATATATGGAAAGTTTGTAATATGTCCTGCATGAACTTTAGCTGAGCTCTTATGTGCATTGTCTGACTCATATTGTGCTTTAAAGCGTCACATCAGTTGACAATTATTTATTTATTTATTTATTTTGCTTTTTAATGTAGAATTTTGCACTTTTAAAGCATAAAGAATTGTTCTATGTTCACATTTATGTGCCCTGCATGTAGCATGGAGGTCTGCATGTTTTGCAGGAGAGAGCGGAACTCCTGCTCACCCGCTACAGCCAGCGCTGGGCCAAGGACTTCCTGCGCAAGAGGCTCGACTGGGCTTTTGATGCATCTGCCCGTTTGGAGGGTCTCTCCCCTCCTGTAGCCCCACGCCACTTAGCCACCGCTCGCTGCCTCTGCCAGTACATTGAGGAACACCTCTCAGTCAAACTCCCGCGCCAAGAGCGAGCTTCTCGTGCGCAGTGTGCTTGCATAACACGGTTCTGCCAAGATGCTGAATTATAATTGATACCTTTATACCATAGCCTTACATATATTGCTAATCAACATTTATACAGAACATTTTTTATAATTTTTTAGTTTAAAATGAGGACACTGAGTTTTAATAGGTTCCATGTTGTCTCATAGTAAATACTGTACTGTGTTATAATTGTTAAAGAAACCTTCAGTGTTCCACAGGTACACTGTACTGTACCTTGAACTCATCATCATCATGATAGATTACAACGAATTTAGATTTTTTGAAGTGTAAGAACCTCTATTATGTAAGACAACTGTATGTGATGATATTGAAATCTCAGAATATTATTATTTACATAGGTGTTAGATTTTTTCTTTCTCATTGTTGGTTTTAGTTCAACAGAAGATCTGTGTAATCTGTTGCTGCAGGTTTTTTGAATTTATATTTTAATAGAAATTTGGACACCTGTACATTTACAGATGGGGTGTAGTGGCTCAGTGGATACAACACTCCTCTCCTATTCTTAGGGTCACTGGTTCATGAAGGCAGTCGAGTGCAGTGCCAACCACAATTCCTCCTTCTGTACCAAAAAAATGACTTGGTCTTTTGCTGCATATGTACTTCCCCTCATGAACCTTCAGTCATACAGGAGCCACTTTAAATGTGTCACTTTTATGGGCTAAGATGGTAATAGAAATGACCCGGTGTGTTCCTCCATTGACCAACTCAAACTTGGAGTCTCAGTTCAGTTGTTGAGTATTATAGACAGGAGATGTTCAGGAGATAGTATGTTTATTACTGATTCCAAGGAGTGGAGGAAGACACAAAGCCTTCACTTCCCTATTGAAATCCTTGGGTCACTCTCCGTATGTTCCTTGCATCACTCTCCATATGTTCCTTGCATCACTCTCCATATGTTCCTTGCATCACTCTCCATATGTTCCTTGCATCACTCCATATATTCCTTGGGTCACTTCATATTTTCTAGGATTAGTTTTCATGTTTTCTTAGGTTTTCATTCCATATTGTCCTGTTACTTTCTATACACTGATCTTGTACTCATCCCTCTCTCTTGTATCCCATTTTCTTTGAGGTTTGTGTACAGTTCCCCCTTGATCAACCTCACAGAAAACTGATAGATATAGAGACATATTTCCATCTCAAACTGTAACTGAATCTCATGTTGATTAGGTTAGGTGAGGCTTGGTCATGTTGTTAGGTTTGGTTATGTTGTTAGGCTTGGTTATGTTGTTAGGTTTGGTTATGTTAAGTTAGGCTTTGAGCTGAGGTTTCACAGATGTGTTCAATATTGTAATTATTTTTTCATTGGGTAGACTGACTTCCTCTAAATCAAGAAGTGATTAGGATGATCATTATTCTTTATGGTTCAAATGTTATTCAAGATAATTATCACCAAAACATTCCAACAGTTTAAATATCAGGATGTTTGTGTATCCTAGTTCATATGTTACCCACGGTGTTTATTACCATTACATTCCAATAGTTTTAACAATACTTGACAAAACTGAACAGGGATTTTAAGGAGATGGAAAAAAGTATAAGTGTGAAAGGGTGTTGAAACCTACTTAAAAATATAAATGCGAGAATCTTCCCCGGAAAATAGGTAAAGAGAGCATCATTTATTCCACCCATTATAGGATTATTACCCATGGGCTATTGGATCCCATTGAAGGTCCCAAGTTTACTGTGTTATTTATGGTAGAAAGACTTGAGGGATTGATGCAGTCACCCCATACATGACATATACATGACATGGGTGTGGTATGGGCACCACTGACCTGTATGTAATATTGTATATATTTATTTTTTTGTCTGTACACTAAAAGCAAGACTTCTCTAACAAGATTAAACTGATTTTAACATTTCTTTCTTCTGTTCTATTTTTTAATTTGTGGAGTAGCTTACTTTAAATTGACTAAACTGACTGAAATAAATGTACTAAAGGTTGCTTGTGTGGAGTATGTATCCTGGAGGTTGCCTGTGTGTAGTATGTGTCCTGGAGGTTGTCTGTGTGGAGTACGTGTCCTGGAGGTTGTCTGTGTGTAGTATGTGTCCTGGAGGTTGTCTGTGTGGAATACGTGTCCTGGAGGTTGCCTGTGTGGAGTGTGTCCTGGAGGTTGTCTGTGTGGAGTACGTGTCCTGGAGGTTTCCTGTGTGGAGTATGTGTCCTGGAGGTTGTCTGTGTGGAATATGTGTCCTGGAGGTTGCCTGTGTGGAGTGTGTCCTGGAGGTTGTCCTGTGTTGGTGTAGTGTGTCCTGGAGGTTGCCTGTGTGGAGTGTGTCCTGGAGGTTGCCTGTGTGGAGTGTGTCCTGGAGGTTGCCTGTGTGGAGTGTGTCCTGGAGGTTGCCTGTGTGGAGTATGTTTCTTGAAGGCCTGTGTGAAGTACAACATAAAGCTTGCCTGTATGGAGTACGACTTGAAACTTGCTTGTATGGAGTACGATTTGAAGCTTGCCTGTGTGGAGTATGACATGAAGCTTGCCTGTGTGGAGTATGACTTGAAGCTTGCGTGTGTGGAGTACGACTTGAAGCTTGCCTCACGCTGCTTTAGCTTCGACTTATACATGGTAATCTATATACGGTACTGTACTTATTTCTCGCAAGTACTGGACTAGTATAGCTTGCTGAAAGGACACGATATATGCATCATTTATTGTACCTTAGTGCGAGTAGTTTTACCAAGAAGAGGAACAAGAATCTGTCGGCTTTCTATCTTTTAGTGTAAATTTCTAGGGCATTGCATGAGGAAGGACGTTCTGTGAGAAACTTAGCTATGTACCTTACTTACTTACAAAAACACCTGCAGTAGTTAATTGGTGTATAAAAACCACCTGTGGCTGTTAATTAGTGTGTGGGTTAAGGTGAGTTGATGTAGTACAGGAGCTATACTTAAGAGGCCTCGTAGGTAGTGTACAGTTGCCCATCTCGTTAACTCGTGTAGCGTAATATTTAATAAGACTTCAAGTGCATCTAATTCCTTTCATCTCTGACAATGGTTATCAAGAGGAATATAATTTTTATTTCCTAACTCTAGTGGCTCCCTAAAATTTATTTCATCCAACCCCAAATCCACTTATGTTTTATTTAATGCTTCTTCAGTGTCTGTACAGAATTATACACCTCATTTGCTTACTGAAATATATATAGTGAAGGAAACTGTTATTACATTTATATTATATCAAGTACAGTACAGTTCTGATTACATTTATATATTTCAAGGACAGTTCAGTTCTGAATACATCTTTATAAATCAAGGACAGTTCTGATTACATTTTTATATATCAAGGACAGTTCTGATTACATTTTTATATATCAAGGACAGTTCTGATTACATTTTTATATATCAAGGACAGTTCTGATTACATTTTTATATATCAAGGACAGTTCTGATTACTGTGAGTAACGTTTCATCGTATTTTTTCAGCAAATTTTTTATGAGAATCTTCCATTAAGTTTAGACACGTGTTACATAGGGTCTCTTTTAAGATGTTAGGTACTGTACTGTCATTTTGGGGCAGACTCATCGTAGATAGTTTGTACAGGTATACATGATTGGGGATGGTGTCGTTAGATCAGTAAATCATTCATTAGTTGTTTAGTATTTGATCTATAAGATTGACTTGAGGTATCTTGGGGGGGGGGGGGCTATAAATTACAATATATAATTTTATTTTTTATCTTTATATATTTTTTTTAGATTGGCAGATAGTCTTTAAGGATAATTTGTATATTGTACAGTTTACGATGGATTTTAGGTCAGTTTTAATATTGACGGCAACTCACTGACCAACTTTTCATGGTAACTTTTTTTAACAATTCCGTCCATTGCTTCTCATGAATTTTTTATCCCGTTGATATATTTTTTTATGAAATTGTACTGATAAGTTTATTACAAGACTTAAAACTTTCATCAATGGTAATTATTTTTGTATGTTGGCAGAAGCTCACATATTATATCTGAATATTTCTTATTTACATCAGTAACTCTATACTGTATTGTTTTTAAGTGATTATTAATGTACCAGTCACTACGTTATTATTTTTAAGTGTGTAATATGTTTAGGTGACCTCCAGTGTATAACTCTGTTTATAAATCTTTATCTTGTAATGCATTCCATTATTATATTCACTACCTAACACTAGTGTACACTCAACTTGTAGTTAACCCTTAACTGGCGGCCGTTATCGGTAAAGTTAGCTGTAGGGACGGTGGTCATCATCAGTGGAAGTTAGTTGTAGACCTGACAGCCATCATCAGTGTATGTTTCATGTTCCTTGCGCCCCATTTTTGTGCACACGGGGCCAGAGTAGGGCATCCTTAGCTGCCAGTTAAGGGTTAAATCAGGTGTATCATTAACATAAGTTGCCGAGTACTTGAGGGCAACATCAACCTATTGTAAAATTCTAAGCATCTCAGCAGAACCCACATAAAATCCTCAAAATGAATCGGTTAGTTTTGGCCTTTGTGCACTGGCAAGTGAGTGAGTGAGTGACTGACTGACTGACTGGTTTGGCTAATAAGACCCATACTATGATATTCACAATAAAGCCATCCTCATGAATCTTACTGAGTCTTAGATAAGGCTTATATACCAGGACCTAAGATGACGGGTTTTCATTAGCATCTGTTCGGTGATGTTGCCGTTCATGCTGTGTTGTGATTTATCATAACATTTCTATTTGAAGACTTAATTAATTTTCAAGTTTATTTTATCCTACAGTTTTTGGTTTGTTGTAGTTTATTTATTAGTTTCGTATTTTAATGATTTTGTACAGTAACTTCTTTAAGATGAATATTCTTGTATTTTCATTTATTTTTAATGTATAATTCATTTATGTAAATCTGTAAATAGAATTTTATTATTTTAGTTCATAAAATTTAAAGCATTGTCAGCATTAACCCCTTGTGTACGTGGGTCTCTCTCTGCTGAGTAAGATCATTTGGCATTAACCAAATAAAATCCTAAAATTGGCGTCCCCATACTGAAGGGGTTAGAGCAACTCTCCATACCGTACTGTAAACAATATAAGCCTTATTTTATTACTCTTTTAAGATTCATTGTTGCTACCATATGAAAAGAAAGGGTCATCTTTAAATGGAATATGATTGGTAGATTTGGGAACTCTTCCAAATGGCCTATACATACCAGATATCCTTTATGTACCAAATGGCCTGTACAGTATATGGCAGATGACCCTCACAGTACAGAATATTACTCAAAATTCAGACTAGGTCCTTGAATGAGATGAACTCCGTCCTTGGCCCAGAGCTGACTGAACAGTGAACTAAGCAGTGTCAGGTTTGTAAATTTTAATGTATTGTTGGAAATATTATCCTTAAAGTAATATAACTGTGAAGGATGATGTTAAATAGGGTGAAAAATGTGGTTGATATTCATGCTTTCTCTCAGACTAGGGAGTGGGGTGTTGATGTACAGTGTGTGTCATGTGGCTGTTTGATGCCCTTCCTGAAGGGGTAATGAAGGAAGTCTTGGTTAGTAGTCTAAGCTGGGAAGTAAGGTTAGAAATATTTAGATGGGAATATAGCAAGATAGTAATTTTAGTGCATGATGATGATCCTGTGATGGTGAATAAAACAATAGGACAATTACAAGATTAATTAAGGTTATTTAGTAGATACTGTAGATATGTGAGAAGTAGTAGTTGAGGATGGATTCAGAATGACCAGAGCCCCTGTGTGAGATGGAGGTGGCACAGTAGAGATGGAGGAGACGTCAGGGTATTCAACTCGTATATACAGTACTCTTAGTTGAGATGGAGGAAAAGCCAGAGGTAATAAGAATTCCAAGAGGCATGTGTGTAGAAGAATCCAATTTTACAAGTATGCTGGAAAATATAATCCAACGTAATTCTTTTTATTTAATGGAAGTAAACCGTTGATGCGGTTATATTAGACTGGTAGGGAAGAATTTAAAGTGATATTTGTTTAAGGTAGTTGAGTAGTAATGAGTTAAATTAAGAAAGGAGGATGTAAAGGGAATACAGTGTAGTTCTCCTCTGATTCATCGCAAGGTTAGGTGAGGTGAGGTAAGGTGCCAAAAAAGATTTAGATTATTTAGTTTTGTGATGAAGTGCACCTCTGTAGAAATAAGGAGCAAAAGTGAGGGGTGAACGTGTAGATATTGCCAAACTCCCTAGAATTGCTTTTGAAACACAATTTATAGGGTTTAGTTATACAGTAAACTCTTGCATATACAGGTACAGTGTGTAATATAAGTGTTATTGATTTTCTCTTGACCATATTTGGTGGTTATATATAGGATGTTGATGCTTACAATCTTGGTAAGGTGATCTGATGTGTCCTCTCTTTCTCTCTCCTCCTCCCTCTCTCTTGAACTGCAAATAGATAAATTACTCTTTTATTTTTTGTTTATACTGTAATAATATTTTAGTGTTTTGCATGGTCATTGTGCTGCAGTCCTGTGTATGGCTGGCTAGAGTTCCAACTTGTGAAGAGAAAGGAATATTATACGATGACTGACGTGCTGGTCCTTCATCATTACTTTTCTTGTGTATATTTAGGAGCTGATTAATGCAGGAATAGTCAACTTCTCCCACTAATAGGAAAACTAATACAATCAAACACTTGTTAATAATCCATTTTTTAATATTTTATTTTGACGGTTCACCAGGATAGAGCTCGCTTACTGCTGGTACGGTACAGTCAACGGTGGGTGAAGGCCGTAGCTCGGGGATCGTTGTCTATCGTTCCCACCAACAACGAGGGGAGCAGCCCCCCGACGCTACCTCCCCGCCACTGTTCCACGAGACAGTGCCTGTGTCAGTATATCGAGGACCACCTCCACTATAAGCCTCAAGGTTTGTGTAAGCTGGCCTCCACCTTCTGTAGCCTACCAGACTTGAACTGAACATCTAGACGCTGCTGGTAACCTCTTTATCTGGGTTTTCTTGGAGACTAAATTTATTAACATGGCGAAACCTCGTTAATCAATGCTTAAGATTATTATTATTAATTTTTTGAAGTTTTATATTATCTCTTCAGAAGAATTGACATAGAGAAGATGTGTACATAATTATCGAGGCTTCTCTATACCCGGGACGCTACTTCATGATCTTATTGGCTCTACCCACAATTCTCTTATCTAGTTGGATCTGTCACGGTGGAATGAGTACTACTTCTGTGGAATAGTGGAACCTTATACATAGCTTAAATGGCAATGGTCGGGAGATATTTTTTAACTGACCTTTAACCCATTCAATCTTAACCAAATATAAGTAATGTGTCAACCATGAAATTTATTGTAGTTTGTTTATTTGGTTAATGATTCCCTGTCGTCATTGAAGGATAAACACCAAGAGACTCCACAGAAAGTAAAACCCATCTTGTAAATTTCTAGCTGTTCCATTATATTTTTGACCAGAATACTACAACATCACTTGAAATTGAATCAAAACAAAATTGCTGTTTAATATTCTGTAATAAAGGCCCCAAAATATCCCCTCTGTAGCCTAAACAACACCCTATTTGCATTCCTTTATACTATTATGATCTTCCTCCATTCTGTATCTTAAGTTACATCTGACCTTCAACTTTTTTAGAAGGGTTTGGATTCTCTCTCACTTGTTGATCTTATTCTTTACTCTATGATATAAGAGGATTACAAGCCTATCTCGTCTTCATTAATATTCAGTCAAGGGATCTATTTTTATGATGTAGATTTTAATAGTCTGGGAAACTAGCTCACTTTTTTAATATAAGTTAGTTATGGCTTTTAATATTCTGAAGATATTTTATTACAATATGGCTCTTGATATCCTAGAAACATATCTTTTCTTTTTATAGTTCTGTATGGTTTTTATGTTTGGGGTTAGATATATATATATATATATATATATATATATATATATATATATATATATATATATATATATATATATATATATATATATATATATATATATATATATATATATATATATATATATATATATATATATATATATATATATATATATATATATATATATATATATATATATATATATATATATATATATATATATATATATATATATATATATATATATATATATATATATATATACTTTATTATGATATAGGTCTTGTGCTTTGCCATCAAATCGTAGCATTTTATAGCTTTACAGATGAGTCATATCAGACGACCACAGGTTCATCCCCTTTTGGCGCTCACACACTGTCATGGAGGTGTACGAGGACTCTGTATAATACTGTTGATTCGTGATCCATTCTTTGATTACAAAATGTACTTACGGACATAATATTGGACTTGTGGACTTAAAGGACTGACATAATGATGGACTTGCTTCCTAATGGCTTTATACTGTTTTCATAAAGATGGACTTTTGGGGGTGGGGGTCATAATATACATATCGACAGGTAAAGTGCTTCCATAATCATATTCAGCTTCTTGATGATGTTCAGAAAGATGATCATCTAAAGACATCCATTTAAATGATGCCACAGATCTCGATAAATGGTAATTCTCAATCATTATACAGTGTCAGGTTTTAAGAGGACCATCTGCTACAGAGAGTGACCTGAGACTAACCTTCCTAGTATATAATGATAGAGCTCCAGCCTTTATGTACAGTACTAGAGTTTGCTCAAAATTGGTGACATAGATCAAGGGCATCACCAAAAGGACATGTACAGCTGGGATAGGGATTAGCCTGTTAACTTTTGGGCATCTAGATTGGCAGCAGAGTTATTTAAATCAACACTGAAGTCACAACAATCAACATTACACAGATGATATTAGTATAGGACCTTTTTATGGTCTTTAGAGTAGAGGGATGACTAGTGTATGGTTATTAAACTCTCCTCTGAATTACTAAAAGATCTAAGATTACTATAGCGTAAATATATCTGTGAGGAAGAAACTTAGAAGACTTTGCATTTTACATTAAGGAATATAACTTTTTGTAGTAATTATGATGGTATTTTCTCTTGACTGGTTTAATAACTGATCCTCTGTAAAGATTGGACTCGACTAATATATTTTTTTAAGTTCTTTAGCACATATCCAGAACTTTGACCTTAAGGTGGACATGTGAGGAAATGGGGATAGACTGTTTACATGTCAT